TTAATAATTTATAGTTACACCTATTGAAGTAAGTTTTATTTAATTAATGTATGGATACATGACTATTTTTAGTTGCAAAATTTATATATATATATATACATAGTAAATAAATGAATTTTGTTGTCTTACAAAAATTGTGGATTTTAAGTCCAGAATTTAAATCCATAAGACACTTTAGTTAATAACACTGTTGAAAACTAACCAAAAGTCTCTAGAATTGACATCTAAGATAAGATACAAGGTTTAGTTAACTGAGAATAACAGAGATTTACATCAGAAAAGACTTTATTTATACATTAGCTTATTGCAATAACAAAAAGGACAATTTTTTCTTAAGAGAGATGTTCTTATAAAAAAGCTGAAAAACGTAGTTAATGTTAAAAGATGTAGAGTAGAATGAGGTTTGATTTAAAACTGAAGAGAAGTAATAAAAGCTTTCAAACTTTTATTCTAGAAGCATTATAAGCTTCCAAGATGCACTTTTTGCACACATATTATGGATATAAGCATATCTGTTTGCTATTTTATTAGATGCTGGCATACAATATCCTTTCATTGTTGTATAAACTTTAGTATTTATATAGTGTAGTATTTGCCGAAAGAGAAAATGATCAGATGGATGTGTGGTGTGACTCTAACAAGATATAAAAAGTAGGCATAATCTTAGACCGATTAGAAAAAACGTTGTATCAAACAACCTTTTTTGTGTGCCTTACATAGTGCCATAATAAAGATGATGATGATTATCATAATGACGATCAACAACATCAACATAATTTTTATTATCATTGTCAAACTTTCCGCTTTTATGCTGTTGATGATAATGATGATCATGATTATGATGACGATGATGATGATGATGATGATGATGATGATGATGATGATGATGATGATGATGATGATGATGATGATGATGATGATGATGATGATGATGATGATGATGGTGATGGTGATAATGGTGATAATGATGGTTATGATGATTATGATGATCATGTTGATCACAATGATGTTCATATATGCATATATATACAAAATCTAGCATGAATTTTAAATTTTAAAAATATACTTTAGGATGTATAAATGTTTATGCAGCCTGGTCTCAAATCCGGCCCTCGCCCCGGCTTTATTTTATCAAATCCGGCTCCGACCCATTTAAACATTTTAAGAATAAAAAACGTCGTGTTATTTTTAAAAACAATTACTTATTTTATGCTATTACGACAATCACAATATATATATATATATATATATATATATATATATATATATATATATATATATATATATATATATATATATATATATATATATATATATATATATATATTTTTACTTTTTAAATTTAATAATAATCATACTAATTCAATAACATTTTAAACATTTACTTTCAGATTGATAATGATACAAGTTTTATTTTTTGATTTAGATTCTGTATCTCAATGATATCCTGGCTTATTGATACGATATCCTGTAAATCCACTCACACACATAAATTTTACACACACACGTAAATCCTGTAAATTCACTCACACACATAAATCTTAAAAAAGATGTTTATATTTTTATCTATAAATTGTAAATTTTATATAAATAAATTGTATATTTTTTATGTTTTTCATTGTGTATTACTATTTGTATTAAAAATAGACTTTGGAAATATTGCAAGTGCAGAGTTCAACATACAATTTTATTTTATTTGCAAATTCAATATACATTATAACCAAGTTTAATCACGTTTAATAATATTTTGCGATATTTTCTCCAGCGCATTTGAGCGTTGTATTAACGTTATATTTCAACCTTTACTCAACGTCTTTGAGTCACTTTAAATCGACGTTTTACTAGCAACGTTACAAATCCTTGCAAAATCGACTACTTTAACAACGTTAAAGTAACGCTCTCCAAGTAACGTTTTTATTCCTATGCAACGCTTTTTAAGTAACGCTTTTTCAACGTTTAGTTGAGACATTTTTGTAACGTCTTTTAGCAACGTTTTTTCAACGTTACGCTACAACGATTAATCAACGTCTTTTTAACAACGTGACATATCTTTGCAAAATCGATTACTTTGTCAACGTTTCCGCAACATCTTTTGCAACCGGTTTTCAACGTTGATTCAACGCTGACATGTTTGCTGGGATATACAACAATTTGAACGGGATAAAACTTAATGCTTTCAAAACGAACTTTTGCTCTCTGGAAAAAGACAAATAATGAACTGCACAATATCTCTAGACAACCATCAAATTATACTTCGTGAGAAACTTAATCATCTCGGCTTTACTTGGGATACAAAAAAAATCAATTTTTGCTTCACTAAATAGAATAAATATTGGTAGTAGGGTATCAAATTTCCAGGCAACAGTGCGAACTCTGAATCAATCTGGAATCGGTTTGCACATCCAAGATCTTTTATCCAATTATATAAATCATTAACAGTTCTGACGTTAACCCACGGTCTGGAGCTCTATTAAAAAAAAGATTCAACAATGAAAAGACTCGACACATTTGGAAGGAACGCAGTTAAATCAATTTTTAATGTCTCCAAATATAGTAAAAACTATATACACTCTCTATTTAAAATTAAGGAGATGTCAAATTATATACACCAAAACAAATTAAATCTATTTATCCGCCTTTTAAACAATAAAGTCACTTTTGAAATCATTAACTCCCAATCTTACTACTATTCAGTTAAATTTTCTTTTTTAGATGATATAAAAGAATTATGTGATAATCATAAACTGAATATGAACCCATTAAAGCTGATTAAAAAAAACGTAAAACTTAAAGTCTTAGAGAATGTAAATCCTGAATAATTCATATTTTGGTACACGCAGTTTAATGTTGGAATGTAAAAGAACAGCGAACAATTTTTAAAAAGATACTCGAAGAAAACATTCTTAAATAATACATTTTTTTATCAGTTTGTGTTTTAACCTTGTAAATATATTTTACAGATTAATAAAATATTAATAATAATAATAATAATAATAATAATAATAATAATAATAATAATAATAATAATAAATTTGAAAATGATAACTGGTTCAATAAGATTTTTCAAAGCAAAGTAGAAACTACATGCATTCTTATTTCAGGGTAGACGCTATGCCAGCCATTCATTTTTGCAACAAATTAAACTTATTTATCGGACGGACGGACTTTTATGAGCAATCAACGATCATTGGGTGAGGTATCGACATTAAGCAAGAAAGTTGATATAAACATGCTTTAATGTATGATCGAGGGTAAGAAAAATATTAGACGTCCTCAAGAAGTATCTGAGGTCAATGTTGCGACGATTTTAAAACATCCAACATTAAAAAAAAACAGATTCCAAGATAATACTGTTTTTGCCTTTTTTCATACTCAATCTTTGTGGTAATTATTGGATTTTTAATAGAATAAATATATATACACTGCGCGTCAGAAAAATAGCTATTTCTCTTTGAAATCCGATGTGAGAACAATAACCACGGCCTTACAACTTGTACGTATGGAAAATGGTTGAAAAATTCGGAAAAACTTTAAGTTAAGAAAAATATCCGGAAAAAGATAACAACCGTTAAAAAGTATATGTACTATTACGATGGATGGGCGTGCCTTGAAGGATGGACGTGCCGTAAAGAACCTTTTGTTTTTCATCAAAAAAACCGCCAAAATCAGCGAGCCACGATCTTATCAAAATATTCCGTTATTAGCAAAAAAGTATTAAATATGGCTTTTAATCAAAGATTTTGAGTAAGGATTTAATAGACGATTCTGTAAAGTTATTTTTGTAAAAATTTGAACTATTTATGTGCTTACAAGTTTATTGTTCAAATCAAACATAAATAAATGATGTTTATTACAAATACAAAGTTATAATAACAGATTTTTTATATTACTTAGACAAATACTTCCCGTTTTCAAGTAAACGTCAACAATAACATATCGAGAGAGCTTTTTAAAAAAGACTTATGGATTGGATATTTTAGTCAAGTTTTATATTTCAGTTAGTATTCTAACCATTCAGAGTCTAAATTCTTTGCTCATGTTGTTTCAACTTCAATATTTTTTTGTTTTCACCGACATGCCGCTTTTTTTTGCCTTCTTTTATTTTACGTTATACAAATACATAAAAGAAACTCCGGTTTGAAAATATATTTCATCATCCTGACGTGATACAAACTGTTTTAATTTAATTATATTAATACTAATTTTAAAATAAACTTAAAACAGTTTGCTTTCAAAACTAGGCTACAATTAATCAAATTACCTTAGTGTATTTAGATTAAATTAACAATAAAAAGATTGTTTTAACAAGATCATTTTTTAAAATATGTAGTTTGTTTAATTGTATTACTTCTAAACTAATAAAATAACTTCGTAATTGCATACTTGCTGTTTGCCTTAAATTTAGTTTTTTTATTATAAAATTACAAAGAACGACATTTTACATACTTTTAATGCACAACTTTTGCATAATTTTGAGAATGTTTACGAACTGTTAATGTTATAACAACTAAAGTACTGCCATGACTGTTCATTAATTTTTAACAATATTACGAAAAACCATAATTAAGACTGACTGTACAAGTTCAATAAATCGTTAAAAAATCGACGTATAAACTTATAACTATTTTCTTTTGTTTGAAACAACAGGCTTGTAACAGACGTTTAATTAATGAGCGTAGTTCGCAAAAACAACAATAAATTGCACGTCCATGATATTACGGAATATAAAATTAAATGAGATTAAATAACTTTTATATTCCCGGCAGACGACGTATAAACGTAATCGAATTAAATAAAGGTGCGCGAATAAACTTATCATTGCACTTATTTCATAAAATAAACTATAAAGTAAGAAATTAAAGTAATTGTAAAACATTTAATATAAAGTTTATGTCTAAATAGGGCCTACCCAGTAACTAAATAAAGATAATCTTAGGCAATTCATTTTTGAAATTTCGACAGAGTGGAAGTTGCAAATAACGCCAGAGTTTAAAAAAAAAGAGTTGTATAAAAATTTATTTAAATCGATTAGTATACATTTGTTTCTATATAAAAAATTAATATCTATAGTGGTTGGGCTTATAAGGTCCTTGTACTGGAACACCAAGATAATCAGCTTGATGAGTTGTTAGGGCAGTGAGATCAACACTAAGGTGCTCTAAATGTAGACGAGCAACTTCTTCATCCAACTAAAAAAAAAATTTTTAAGACATGTACAAATGAAGGAAAAAAAAAAAAGGATGACGCTAACATGTTTAACAAAAAAACTAACAAATCTGCTTTAAAAAAGAACATACATGCTTTGGTAACATATGAACTCCGATTTCATAACTACTTGAGTTCTTCCATAATTCTATCTGTGCTAAAACCTGGTTTGTAAACGAATTACTCATAACGAAACTAGGATGACCATGAGCACAACCCAAATTAACAAGTCGGCCTTCAGCTAAAACAATGACATGGCGACCATTAGGAAGAAGGTAACGATCAACCTAAATATTTAATATATATATATATATATATATATATATATATATATATATATATATATATATATATATATATATATATATATATATATATATATATAGAATAACTACTGAAATAAAAAATGAAAAATTATTAATTTTAATAGGCAATTTTAGGCAAAAGAATTAGCAGACTTAAGTTAATATTCGAGGTAAATGTTATCCATGAATAAATTCCCACTCATTTTAGAGGGGGACTTTAAACACTTCTGAATTACGAACTTTTAAATTTTTTGAAATTACTTCACACTATAACAAAATATTGCATCAGGGCAATTTTTAAACATATGTAACCAAAATTTAACCTGTGGTTTAATTGTTTCCTTTACACAGTTATCATTTAGCCATTTAACATCTATTTCACAGTCAAAATGCCCAATATTACAAACTATTGCATTATCTCGCATCTGTTGAAAATGTTCAGGTCTAATAATACTCGAGCAGCCTGTTGTTGTAACAAAAATATGTGCCTGAGAACAAGCTTCACCCATAGTTGTTACTTGGTAACCTAAAAACAATAATAAAAAAAAACGTTGCTTATGGCAGAATGAAAACACAAAATCACACTAAAATGTAAGAAATGGATGCCAGAGAAAATACGAGAACCTGGCAAAAATTTATTCATCTGTTAAAAAATTCAATTTGAACTTGGGACGTCTTTCTAATAAAGCATGCACTATTACACAATATAGTAAAAACATGCCCAGATCTAACATATCATATTTAAATAAACTTTTATTAAGGCAAAAAATTATAAAAAATATTTATTATGTAACTCATAATAATTTTAATAAAACAGTAACATAAGAATTTATTATTTTACTTTGCTGAACTTACTTCTCTAAGTAAAAATACTTAAAAATAATGAAACAGTCTCAGTTAACTTAAAAATCATTTTAATCATAAGGTGTCCTAAGTGTTCAATCATCATTGTCTGTTCCAATAAAGATTATAAACATAAGTCTCAGAAATATGCAACATCAAGTTAATCAGATATATGCTTGTCTTTATATCTTCATTGACTTTTTGTTTTAACTTTTTTATTCAGAAAATGTATTCTAAATAGGTTGTAGATACTTTGTGTTAAATACATTTCATATATAATTTTTTTAATACATAAATTAGTGTATTTAACAATTTATATTGCCAATAATAATAGCTAAAATATTATCACAGAAAAATAGTTTAGAGGTAAGGTTTGGCATATTAAACAATTAGACAAACATTACAATTTTATTCTATAAGAAATTTGATTTAAGAACATTTTGAATTGTGCTAAATTTAAACAGGCTTTTTAGTTAAGACTTTAATGAATTTTTTCAGAGAATTCCCAGAATTCACTTAAAACTTCTTTAACTTTTCAGAAATTTCCACATGTTTTTTGTTATCAATAAAAAAAAAATATAAATACAACAACTTTTGCATTTAAACAACTATGTTTTTATATAAAAACCTTCACGAGATCAATTTTTGTAACAATTTTTATTCTTTTTAATTCATTTTAATTAATTTTTTTAAGTATTATAAATTCTTTCTAGTAAAAAGTTAAATAATCTAAATTCCTTTTTAAAAGTTTATGAAAGTTTTTGCTGTCTGCTAATATGATCAATTTTAAATAAAATTTCTGGTATTTTCACAAAGTCAAATACTCATCTATGTAATAAAGGTAACTTACTGTATAAATGTTATAAACAGTCTCAGATAACTTAAAAATCATAATAATCAGAAGGTGTCCTAAGTGTTTAATCATCATTGGCTGTTCTAATTTGAAAAATACAAGAACCTTAATTTAACAAAGTCTCAGAAACTTATATCATCAAGTAGATCAGATATATGCTTGTCTTTTTTTATCTTCATTGACATTTTAAAAATCAAACTACATAAAACGAGCCTAGGCAGAGCACCTAAAGGAACAATAACTAACTCTTTGTATAATAAAACATAACTATTTTAAAATCACTATTATCAAAGTCAGATCGTTATTTGTTAAATAAATTTATTTATTACATTGTATAAACAATTTTATTTATTTAACTATTTATTTTGCCAAATATAATAACTAGACTACCATTATGTAGGCTGTCTAGGGGTAAGAATTGGCATTAACCTAAAAAAATTATCTTTAAACCCTTGCTGATACAGTAAACCATTAAAGTAGGAAGAATATCTTACACTATGAGGTTTACCTTAACTAGGTTTATAATTTAACATCGAGTTCAAACATTTTTTTAGGTTTGAAAATCAGTATATAATTACATAAGCAAACTATTTAATGTCTCAGATTATGCTATCATCACAAATCAGTTATATGCTTGTCTTTTTTATTCATCATAGACATTTCCCACAAAAAAATTATTTTATTTTTTAAATCAAACCTTCCATAGCTGCTTGTAATGCGTTGATAGGATCAATTTCTGTAATAATAACTCTAGCGCCAAAAGCACGAAGTGCTGCTGCTGATCCTTTTCCAACATCTCCATAACCTGCAACTGTGCAAATCTTTCCAGCTATCATTACATCAGTAGCACGCTTAATGCCATCAACAAGAGACTCGCGACATCCATACAAATTATCAAACTTGGATTTAGTTACAGAATCATTTACATTAATAGCAGGGCACTTTAGTAAATTATTCTTAAACATTTTGTAAAGATTATGAACTCCAGTTGTTGTTTCTTCTGATAGACCTCGTATACCTAAAAATATTTAAAAAAAACTTATTATTTAAAAGATAGCTTTACATAAAGTTTTAGGGGACTAAAACAGCAACTTCTTTTAGAGTAAAACTTTTAGAGTAAAAATAAACTAAAAATAAAATTCATGCAATTAGACTTTTCTTTAGTGTTGACTAAATTATAAGTTTTAAAGCATAAGACTAATCTATTTTAAAAACTTTCAGAATCAAAACTGCAGCAAAATAGGTGCAATGAAAAAAGATATATATATATATAAATATATATATATAAATATAAAAAAGATAAAAATACTAACTGGTCAAATAACAAATTGATGTTTTTTTTTTATTTAGCAATTTACCTGCCAAAAGTTCTGGATACTTAACATGAACAAGGTTTGTTAAATCACCACCATCATCTAATATCATGTTTAACGGCTGACCATCTGGAAATATCAAAGTTTGCTCAATGCACCACAAATATTCTTCATCAGTCTCTCCTTTCCATGCATAAACAGGAAAACCTGCTTTAGCAATAGCAGCTGCAGCATGATCTTGAGTTGAAAATATGTTGCAAGATGACCATTGAACCTCAGCTCCAAGTTCTTTTAGAGTTTCAATTAAAACAGCTGTCTGAATTGTCATATGTAGACAGCCAGCAATTCTTGCTCCTTTTAATGGTTGCTCAGCACCATACCGTTTCCTCATCATCATTAAACCAGGCATCTCATGCTCAGCAAGATTGATGTACCTGCGTCCAAGGTCAGCCAATGATATGTCAGCTATTTTAAAAAAAACTTTAAAATTAGAAACAAAACATGAAGTCTCAGATATGATTTTTTAACTAAAAATACAGATTAGCATAAAATATTAGGCCTTAGTCATAGGTGTCAAAATTTGACAAAATTATTTTTTAAGTTTTATTACAGGGTTGCCACTATTATTTTAAAGTTTACTATTATTTTAAAGTTGAGTAGAGAATTTTTTCCCTGAGTTGAACTTCCTGAGTTTGTTCCTATTAACAAGTTCCTAGATAATTTTAAAAACAAATTCTGAGTTAAGTTCCCTGAGTTCTCCCTGACTTTTCCATATTCTTTCCTGTTCATCAACAAGATTATTTACCTTAATGAAACAATCTCATTATTTGACAAACCAAAACTTTTATAACAACACCCACATCTTGCAAACTTATTGTACAATATATATATGTATAAAAAAAAAAGCCAACCATATATATTTTTTAAATTTAAAGGACTAAAAATTGCATTTATGATATATAAATATAATTTAAAATTATCATTATAAAACATTAATCATGATTACTTAATAAAAGTTGTATTTTTAAAATTAAGTTACAGCCTACTTTTGATCTATTTTTATAATTCTCAATAAATGTTTTACCATTTCTATGAAATTTTGAGTCCATTGTTTACAAGTTTTATTAGTTTAATTTAGCTTTATCACTACATATGGATACACAAATCGCGCTAATTTAGATATTTCCTCTAGGTCTGAAAATCAACAAAAAATGCATTTATTTAATTAAAAAATACAATTAAAAAGCTATAATTTGTCTTCTTTATAAATAGCAGTTACAATTAAATTATTTATATCAGTTATGATTAAATTCCTCTTCAAAAGCAACTTTTAAAAACCTGGCTTTTATTAACACTTAAAAGCAAAACTGTTTAAAAATGCATAATGCAATTTCAGATGGACCTCTGACCCTAACCCTGTATTTAATCATGCTAATCCCTATTTGACAGTTAATGTATGTACATCTGAAAGTCAACATCTTTAAAAAATGGCAAAGCCATAATTTATGATTAAATTATCATAAACTAACCATTATCATAAACGATGATTGTGGGTTTATTGAGATTTAACAATAAATTACCTATATTGTTATAAATAGTAATTTAGTTGTATGTCATGCAATGTATTTTAAGAATTACCTTAAAAAAGGGTCCAATAGTCTAGAAATTTGAGACTTTTGGACCCTTTTTTAATTTAATTCCTAAAATACAGGCGGTGTATTTGATTCACGGGGTTAGGGGAGGGTGGCATTTCTTAGTTAATTTTAATTAGAAAACTGCTAAAATAAATCATCGTTTCAATCACACGTGAATCAAACACACCTCCGTCCAACACTTTATTTATTATTTTATGATATTGATTATCACTTCAAAATTTCGGGGAGTAATAATTAAAAAAGTTTTAGGGAGCTTGGTGGATGTATTCTTGATTCATGAGGTTAAAGGGTATATCTCAGCTGATTTTAATTAAAAAAAGGCTAAATTTAATCATCGTCTTAATCACACGTGAAATAAGTGCACATCCGTCATTATTATATATATTTTAGATAATAATATATTTTAATATTTAAATAGTTAAGATAGTAAAATACGTTTAGTTAAAACGTAAAATAGTTTAGCATAACATTAAAAAAAATTTATATTGAAACTAAAAACGTTTACCAACTTTATAGTTAGGTTTTCCATCGCTTGGACCAGGAGGTGAAACCATTTTCAAATCAAACCAATATCAGTCGACCTTCCGACAAGGAACCGTACAATGACAAAAGGGCCTTGGAAAGGTCGATGAAAGTAAGGATCTCTCGGCATATAATATGAGGCATGGGTCTATTCTTAAACCATGATTGGTTAATATTTGGATCGATATCTCTCAACGGTAGCCGAAAAAATAAATTGAATCAATAATAGTCGGGCCTTAAAAAAATTCCTTAAATACGTTTCGTAATTTTGATTAAACTGGGTTACTATTTCGAAATATTGTTAATTTATTGTTAAATCTCAATGAATTGAAAAAATATGGAACCACAATCACCAGTAACCCTCAATAAGCCTGCACCATTGTCACCTTCCGGAGAAACTAAAAACGTTCAAGACCTCACCATTTTTGTAAGTACTAATTAATACATTAATACTATTTATTAACAACAAATCGTTATTTTCTACTTTATATCGAAGGTTACTAAAGTTATTAATTTATTATAATTTAAGAATAGTTATACATAACTAAAATTCAAACTGTTTAGAATATAATTAAAGTTTTATAATAATTTAAATAATTTATTTATATTTAACTCCTTAAATATTATACTCTATGTATATAAATTATCACATATACGTTTTTCGAAAATCATAATGTCAAAAAACACTTTGAGAATCGTTTTCATTATTTATTATTTTTTTAAAGATTAACATGTATGAAAATATATTTTACATGAATCACAAACTATAAAACTTTTTAAAGCACAAATTTTAAAACAAGAACAAACAAATCTCTACAAAATATGTATCGTATATGGGCGCTACTCACTTTCTCCCCCCCCCCCCTGTTTTTATGATTGATTTTTATAGAAAACATTAGTTCTAAATCATATAATAACATGTCTAAAAACTTAAGGAGAGTACTCTAATTTGATGTTAAAGTATAAAAATCCACATTAAAAACCCTATTATTAGCCATCATACTCGGTTATTAAACCCTGGTTTTTATTGACGCTTCAATTTAAAACACATTTCTTATTGATTTCCTGTTCCAAACAAACCCTGACCCAAATCATGTACATTTAATTGCGCCAATCCCTATTTGTCAATTGATGTAAGTACATTTAATTGCACCAATTCCTATATTTCAGTCGATGCATGTACATTTAATTGCGCCAATTCCTATTTGTCAGTCGATGTATATACATCTTATAATATGAAAATGAAAATAAAAACTGGGTCATTAGTTAGAAAATTAATTATCTAAATTTTGAAAACAGTGTTAAAATGTGTGTGGCATAAGTTGTATTTTATGTACGTAAACTAATCAAGTACAAAACGCAACTTGTATTGCATAATTATAAAGAATTATAATTTTTTTTTTTTTATAAATAAATTTAGACTAAAGAATTTGCATAATTAACTTAATTATGCAAATTCTTTTGTAAAAATGAAGAAGTCTTAATTTTTAAGACTTCTTATTTTTTAAAAAGAATTTTTTTTACAAAGAATTTTTTTATTTGTCTTTGTTATTTTTTTTTTTTTTTGTTATTTTTTTATTTATTTTTTATTTGTTATTTTTTATTTATTTTGTCATGATAAGAAGCCTACACTCTCTGATTGCTTGGAGGGGGTATCTGAGCTTGAAAAGGATCTCACTTCTGCTACAGCATGGGGCTCACAGTGGCTGGTGAACTTTAATTCAGATAAAACTCAATTTTATTCGGCCAATCGTTATCGTAATAATTTAGATCTTCCTATATTTATGAATGGTAATGTACTAGATGAGTCATCTACCATTCATCTTCTAGGATTAACTCTTACTTCTGATCTTTCTTTTAAACCGTATATCAAATCCATTGCAAAATTAGCATCTGCTAAGGTTGCATCTCTTTATCGAGCTCGACACTTTCTTAGTCCAGATTCTATTCTCTATCTCTATAAATCTCAAATCCGTCCCTGTATGGAATACTGTTGCCATATCTGGGGCGGATCTTCTAATGATGCTCTTTCTCTTTTAGACAAGGTGCAAAAACGAATTGTAAACATAGTTGGACCTGCTTTGGCAGCCAATCTCCAACCTTTGTCACATCGTCGTAATGTTGCTTCTCTTTCTCTTTTCTACAAATACTATAATGGGCACTGCTCTAAAGAGCTAGCGTCCCTTGTGCCATCTACTAAAATTCATTCTCGTGTTACTCGCCATTCAATTAAGTCTCATCCTTTTTCTGTGACTGTTCCTAAGTGCTCCAAAAACTTTTATTCTTCTAGTTTTTTTCCTCGAACATCAGTTCTTTGGAATTCGCTTCCTTCATCTTGCTTTCCTGATTCATATAATTTGCAATCTTTTAAGTCATCAGTCAATCGTTATCTTGCTCTACAGATTTAGTCTTTTCTCTTCCAGTAACTTCCAACTCTTATAGTGGTTGCTTGCAGCCTTGTTGGAAGTGAAGATGTTAAAAAAAAAAAAAAAAAAAAAGTTTTTTATAGAAAACCAAAAATTAAATAATAGTTTATAAATAAATATTGTCTATACTCTTATATTTTGTTTTTTTATAACGCTTTCAATTGAAAATTTTGTTCACCCTAATAATCCTCATATCCACACTCAAAATATTAAAAACTTATGGATGCAAGCAAAAAATAGCTATGCAGACAAAGTGGTACAAGTGAAGATTTGTTTACAAGCTATTTACACAAATTTGTATAGAGAATTTCCATTAAAAACAAAAATATAATTTTTAATTAATTCCTTCTACTCGTCATTTCTATATATTGAATTTTAATTTATATAAAAAGATAAAAAAATATATACAATAACCTTTTTTCATTAAAAAACATCAATAGAATCAACTTTATTTTGTGTTTTACGGTTGCATAATTATACATAAATATTTTTAAATAATAATGTATAATTAATATTTTTGTTATTGTATATATTTTTTATCTTTTTATATAAATTTAAGAATTCACCCATTTGTTGGGAAACTAGGTTTGAATCCACGGGCTACTCTTTTATATGCTTTCGTTTAGCTCCACTTCACTCTATCACCTTTCTCTTTGTTCTTTATCGCTCTCCTTCATCTCAAGACTGCACTCTTCTTGATGTTATTTCTGATTATATTGACCAAGCCCTCATTCTTTATCCATCAGCCAATATTGTTGTTGTCTGTGACTTTAATGCGCATCACACTGAATGACTAGGCTCTAGTTTCAGTGACTCTGCAGGCATTAGAGCTCACAATTTTTGCCTTTCTCAATCCCTAACTCAAATAGTCAACTTTCCAACTTGCTTTCCAGACAACCCGAATCATTTACCTTCTCTACTCGACTTATGTCTTGTTTCTGATCCTAGTCAGTGCTCAGTTTCTCCACATTTACCCTTAGGTGCTTCTGATCATGGTTTGGTCTCTCTAAAACTATTATCTCATTCTTCTTTATCATCAAAATCCCCCTATCATTGTACATCCTACAACTACCTTAAAGCTGACTGGAACTCTTTCCGTGATTTTCTTCGTGATAGCCCTTAGGTAAAAGTTATTCGTCTTCCTGTTGACAAATATGTTTCTTACATAACTTTGTGGATTCAGGCTGGCATGAAATCCTTTATTTGCTCTCGACAATTCCAGGTCAAGTCTCACTCTTCACTATGGTTTTCCTCACATTGTGCTGCTGCAATTGCCAATTAAAACCGTTACTTCCATATCTATCAGCAAAACAATTCTCCAGAAAACAGACGTCTGTTTATTACTGCTAGAAACCATTGTAAAAAGGTTTTGTCTAACACCAAACCCCGCTATTCTCATCATGAAATCTCGTATTTCATTACAAGAATTAGGCTCTCGTGACTTCTGGAGAATCTTTAATAGTATCAATAATAAGGGCAAGTCTGTAATTCCACCTCTTTTGTATAGTTCAGACTTTGTCATCTCACCATAAGACAAAGCTGAATTGTTTGCCAAGAACTTTTTATCAATATTGTCTCTTGATTCCACTAGTTGCACTCTACCTGATATAGCTGTCAGGTTGATCCATTGCTCGACATCTGTATCACTCCTTTTGTATCTATAGTGATTTTCTGCTTAGACTCTTCTACAGCTTGCGGCCCGGACAACATACCTGTTATAGTCTTGCAGAAGTGTTCTCCGGAGCTGTCTATCCTTTCAAAACTATTTAATAAGTGCTTATCAGAGTTTTGTTTTCCAGCCTACTGGAAAGCAGCATCTGTTATCCCTATTTTTAAAAATTCTGGAGAGCGATCCGATTCGTCTAACTACCGTCTCATTAGTCTTCTTCCTATTATAAGCAAGGTTTTTGAATCTTTAATTAGCAAACATCTCTTATCTTGAATCTAATAACTTATTTTCTGATCATAATAAATATAGAAATATAGATTTCGATCTTCTTGTTCTACGACTGATTTGCTAACAGTAATAAGCGATAGGTTTTATCGTGCATTAGATAAAGGTGAAGAGGTTAAGGCTCTTGACATTTCTAAAGCGTTTGATAATGTTTGGCATGCTGGTTTTCTCCATAAGCTATTAACTGACAGTGTGTCTGGAAACATCCTTAAGAATATTGAATCCTTCTTTCTAATCGTAGTATAAAAGTTGTCCTTGATGGACAGCACTCCTCTTCTTATTCTGTAACCTCAGGGGTTCCTCAAGATTCAATCCTTGGCCCTATTAATATTCAAAGATATATGTACTTGGCATAAGGTCAGTACATGACAAAAACTTACTTGGCATAAGGTCAGTACATGACAAAAACTTTCGCTTTACAAAAAAGTTTAGTATTTAAAAGACCTGTAAGACCTGTAAGACATTAGCTAAATAAATAAATTACACTTAACCATGTTTTCAAGGTTCACTGCTTTACAAGAAAAAAGAAAAAAAAAAAAGATAAATAAACAATAGTTGAGTTTTGGGTGCATCTGTTAAAAATCCTTTAAATTATCCTGTTAAAAGTTAGAATATGTGCAACTGCTTATAATTATATTGTGGCTTATTTCTAAAGAAATCCTGAACTTTTTCCTTGCATAAAGATATACAATATTTATCTTTTCATAATCTTTATACGATAAAATATTTAACTGAATATCTCAGTATTATTTATGTAAATATGTATTTATATATTACCCCTTTTATATAGAGATTATATAAATATAAAATATAAATAATATTCAAACCTTCTCTATTTAAAATGTTCATTTCTGAAATATAATCTACTGTATAATTTCTGAATTAATTTTTTATTATGGAAGTATACAATAAGTAAACTTATAAACGAAAAAGATAAAACTTTTTAATGGTATGTGAATTATATGTGAAACTCTTAGAAATGAATAGGAAAAGACCGCATGGTAGATTTTAGTGGTTTAGGAGTACAGTTGGCGCACATATTATAAT